GTGGAGGAGGTGTAATGAGTTGGATAGAATATGATTACTGCTCGCAGGTACAGCACAAGCATTGGGGATCCAAATGTGTGAGAGATGAACGGAACAACCTGAGAGGGATAAAGATGTACGGGTGATGATTACGCGGAGAGGGTGAGATCAAAGAATCACAGGAAGCCCACCGATGAGTAGGATAGGAGACTGATAATACGGTGGTGGTGGCGATCAGAAGCCTTCTCGGATTAGTGCAAGGCCGCAGGTTGGACAGGTAGTCGAAGCAACACTTCCGGTGGTTCATTGCGATAGTACTTGACTTTTTCACATTTCCCAGTTGCATAATCCATATGCAAGTAGGTATCAGCGGCCACATCCATCAGTTGTCCGGTGGCTTGATTTAATACACGCTCACGATATTCACTCAAACGGATTCGTAGTGTATTTCCGGCTTCAGGATGTGGGTTACCTGTAGGAACAAGAAAGAGTGCAATTGACAATTTGAAAATCAGAAAAATGTACAAGCAGAAAGTAAAGGTGATCGATGACAAAGAGCTATGACTAATTCTGCTTCGGAATAAAAACTAGGTCGTTTTCAAGTATGCATCGTTGCTGCACAAATCGGGACAAACTATGCAAGTCTACACGAAAGACGTAGTGCTGAACGTGCTGAGCGCAGTCCGGAAGGAATTTCATTACAAACCTATGTTGTACTCTAGAAGGAGTAAACCCCAAGATAAGTCATGGAAATTGGCAGTTCGGGGATTTGGAATAGTGAATTATATGAAATGGGAAGGGTTTTCCAAATGAGTGTCTAGGACACAATTCACGGTAGCTCACACCGACGAAGAGGGTTTTTATTGTGGGAGTCTGTAACACAAAAGTCCGACCCATAACAGAGACTGGAGTAGATTCGTCGCGGGGACATGACCGAAGCATCGGTGTGGGAAATCATAGAGACCTGTCACACAGGGTCTTCGGGTTTCGGTTCAGTGTGTTATCACTGCTTTCATTGACACTTTGCCATTCGGGATCCGTCCTTGGTCTCATGCATCCAATGGGATAGATGGAACGTGCACAGGATAGCATGACATTGGCTGGGGGCTATCCAGTTTGAGCGGGCGTCACCTGCACAATGAAGTACGAAGATTTTCCCCACCCAATAGGAGTTGGTGCTGAATACTTCAACCTGAGGACTACAAGGGTCAATATAGTATTAGCATCAGAAACCTGAGGGGAAAAACATACTTTCTTTAGCTAAAAACCAAGTAAATTGTTTTGGTCCATGAGTTACCACTTTCCTAGTTTACTGTTGGGAATCCAAGTAGCCGTTCATTGAAATAGAAAAACGTACCCGCTCGTAAGCCGTTTTACTAGTTCCGTCTTGGATTAATTGCTTGGGAAATCGTCAGTCATAACAATCACGCGATTGCGTCCGTAAGATGCACTGAACAGTTTTGGTCTGTCCATTAGAAACTGCAGAACTGTCGATAAGACAGAGACGAGTTAGAGTAACTTCATGTTAAACACTGTCGTTTCTTATGGGGGAAGCTGAAGCCTGATACGAACAATCTGTGGAGTAAGTGATCTCCTTTGGTCATCCGGTTGGTTCGAGTTGTACACGAGCCACCTAAGGCGCCTTCTTGATTAGTCCATGGATCTTAGTTGAACGTTGAAATCGTCGCCGGCTATCACGGTCCATCGAGTGAACACTTTAGAGTGGTTGTAGAATTCATCTGTTATTTCATGGGCACTACAATTCACCNGCAATGACGCTTCGTTCTGATGCTGTTGAGCTGCAGTGAAGCATAGAGACATACAGCACATAGCCTGTTACTGTTTGGAACCAAATCGAAAAAGTGAGTATCCATTCATCATATGCAAGCCTGACGTCGGCAATACTACGAGCGCCAAATGGTAAATCACCTGACGCATGGGCAGCAGTGCGTAAAAGTAGGACGGGCCAGAAAAACTCAGTGTGGTAATTAAAGGTATTGCATGCTTCTTTCGGAAACAACGCACGTCTGAATCGAGTGTCAATGATTTTAGTTAAGGCGGTTTTTCGGCTGGTCTGATTGTGTACGGGCATGGAATGTAGAAAAGTGAAGATCTGTTGGGATGATCAATCAGGCAGCTTCTGATTGGCTCACCTTATTAGTTGAACTCCGAGTAAGAGGAAGAACGAAACATATGAGAAAAGGGGTTTTCAAATGAGTCTCAGCCCTTGGCTCACGGGCCGCTCAGCAACCGATGATTTAGATGACGTTTTTCCTCGAGAACCTTGATCGAAGCCTCAGAAGGCCTAAATCGACCGGTAGGGGAACTGGAATTTTCGGGTTTTCTTTGGGAAACCAACAGAGGCTCGAAATTCCGAGCCATACGACAGATGGGCGCAGATCCGTGGGGGGACGTGAGCAAAGCTTTCGTGTGAGGGCCTCTACAGACCCGTCGAAATAAAGTTCTGTAGTTTCCGTTTTGTTTTCTATGCGTTGGTTATTTCTGTCACTCAGTCCCCTAGAGGGGTCATTTCAACCCTATTTTGGAACGGTAAATGACAGATTGTATCACGTTGTCGAAACTGACGTTGTTTTTCCTACTTATGTCAAATAAGAAGGTACCCCAAAACGCAGAAAATTGTAACAGCTTCGAGCAGGAGATGGTGTGAACCGACATTCTTACCTTGTGGTGGTTCATTAGCCCTGCCTCTGTGATCCGATGGGGAAGCTATGCAAAGATAATATCTAAAATAGCGGATTGTCTTATATACAAGTGTAACTGTCTTGGGGTCGAATATCGCTGTTTCATGCTGATTTGTCTTCTCAAACACAAAGTAAAAGCGTATGAGGTTTAGAGTGGATAAAATAAAACAGCTGTATATGGGTTGACCAAGGTAAAGAAGTGGACTCGGAGAGTGGCGATGGACTGTGTCTAATGTACAATCGCCAAAACAGAAACAAATCAAGAACAATGTCCAGTGAATTATCGGGACCGTTAGGTTCTCACACTTTACCAGGCTTGGATAAAGTAACACATGATGGTTGAGTTTTTATTTTAGGCCCCACGGTGATCCGGTTACCGTTTGCCGGGGAAATGCAACCAGTTTCCACATTACTATGACGATTACACGACTCTCTGAAGGTGAAGTTCCAGGCCAAGAGTAAGCCGTACTGACGCTATTGCTGTGCTTAAACTAGAGTTGTAATCAACAAAGCAGTCAGGACACCCCTAACAATTATTCCTGTCACCAAAACACTCACCTCGAGCCCCAGCAATGAACGAAACGATCATTGCTTTTTCCGGTCGCGATACACGATTTGCGCCTTGGAACAGATTGTGAACAGAATTCACTTGAGCCTCGGTCAAACAAAGATCGTCCTGGATCTTAACAGCCGAGGGAAGCCCGGAAGATGAATCATTCGCGTTCGTCACCAGCACAGTACGATTGTTCAGCTGCATTGGTTGATGCGATGCAGATTGGATGGACTGTGAGGACGGTCCAGTTGTGATCTGAGCAGTGATGAATTTCGCGGATGCATTGCTCTCTAGCATACCACCAGCATTGGCCCCATACGAGTGAACAGTGTGTTGCGGTTGCTGTTGCTGTGATTGTGATCGTTCAGTCTGATCCACAAAACCGGAATCCCCAACCGGACTGGTAAGTTGCGACTCCGAGGGAGTTGACATCTGTTGTTGCTGTTGAACAATGCGAATAGTTTGAGACCCGGTGAGAGCAGCGTTCCCGGATGTCGGATGCTGAACGAACTGAATGTATCCAGTGTTTGGACAGGCCTGAAGAAAGATAATAACAATGGAACGCATGCATCAGCAACTGTCTAAGATCGCGAAAAAATATTTGCTATAAAAATATAGACAAACACTTCAAAATATATCCGATTTCAATCATGTTCACTATCACTCACAGCGAATTGCGCGGGATTCATAATTGTTTATGATACACAGTAAATGCCGATCCCATGAAAACTAGTCAAGCGAGTAGGGTCACCACCACATTTCCCCAAAGGTGAGAGGGTTCAAAATCCCACCATTGCAGCCGGACTTCCCCACTTCCATTTGTCTTATAGAGGCCTTTGGTTGGGAGCAAAACCTTCCCTAAACATCAACTGCACCACGATATGCTCATTAAGATTATTACCACTATAATAGATTACCAGGAAGTGACTTATCGCAACTGTCGAAGTCATCGGTGGCGATGTCCTGTGGAAAAATTATTTGCAGAATGGATCAAACGAGATCACCGTGGGGCCTGGTCGATTATCACGTGGTCTATACTGAACACGCAAAGCCTCGAAAGTTGCTAAGCAAATGAAGGGGTCAGGTTTCTTTAGCAAAGCAAAGCGCTACGAACAGTGGTGTTGACAATCTGATCGCTCAGAGATGAATACATCGTGGCGGCCTATCATTGGGTGAACGCCAGTTTGGTTTATGCAATGTGCAATACCCTTGGTTCTCCTCATGGATTTTACGTAACTCCCCAGGTAAGTCAGCGTGTGCACAGCACCTGTATTTATCTAGTGAGTGCAGTACAGTGGCGCTCGTGCATCTTCTGAATTTCTTTGCAACCTTAGTATTCAAGAATTCTCTATTTCCACTTTGACCATGATTTGAACATTTCAGTCTTTTCGTTAATCTTTCACCCAAATGGAAGCCATTAGACAGCAACCAAAACAGGCGCACGAATAGTGGATGGGTAATGGTTGTAAAACTGAAACTGAGTGAGTGTACACATAGGTATTAGCCAGTGCTGAAAGAGAACTTCTTTTTGAGATGGATCCAACTGCTCACCATTTCGCTATATCGCTATGGCTCGGTATGCCTTGTATTAGTTAATTGGATTGCTCGGAAACGACCACATAACGNTAACGGGCATGATCTAGACCAGGAAATTGATAGTCGGGGATGAACTCTGCTGCATTGAAATTATTTACAGAAAGGTATTCCACAGAGCGTGTAAGGCTAATTCGAAAGAAAACGACGTTAACGAATAGTGATCAAATAATCCTGTAAACTTCACTTGTGAGTGAAACCTGTGGCAATTGCTCTCAATCTTACATGAGCAGTTATAATGCAGTTACACAGGCAAAGTGTTCCTCGGGAACATCACTACCCGACAGACGTCTTTGTAGCGCAACCGGTACAAACAGATTAGAAGTTTATATTTCGAGAAACACAGCAAATGTCAGACTTGAGAATGTGACGAAACAAGAATGAATGATAATTGGGGGAAATGGAAGCGAAGTGCTCGGTGTGCTACGCCGATAAGCTCCTGATGAATTTTGGATAATCTGTGGACTGTGAGAAAACAGTTCACCGTGGTTGTCAAAACCGCTGCGCAAGTCAACACCGGTACCACGCCGAGTGCATTCAACATGTGCTAACCAATTCAGTCACTGAACGTCGAGCACTGTGTTATGCAATTCCTTGTCTGTTCACGATGGCGAATCTACATAGTCGAATCACATTGAAGTACTGTTCAGTTCAGTTTATACATCCACTAACCATGCACTTTCGTGCGCCGGTTTTGGTTGCTGTCTCACGACTGTCCAGTTAGATGAAAGGGCATAATGAAAACTGGAATATTGAGAGCAGAGTCCAAGAGAAGATAGAGAACTCACATGGACTAAGGCCTCAAGGATGACGAGCAGATACATGGACAACACTGTTCGTGACACTCCGCCACATTCCTTAGTGTCTCTAACCACCGGTTACATGGTCTCCGGCTCCCCATCTAGGGAGCCTAATGGGATCTATGCATCCTGGTTAGGGATTTCATATCCTCGTGCTAGGTCTGAGTTTAACCACACTTTACTTTTTCCCATCAATCACCTGCTTCCATAAACAACGTGCTCCGTCACATGCGCAACATATCCTAAACAGCGTAGTTTACGGACGTCAACCGCTTGTTTCAGTGGACAACTGTAGCATACACTTAACCCTTTACAAACAGCCGGATGTCGCGACGGCGCCACACATGTCTCAATTTGACAAATGCCAACCGAGCCTTCTGTATTTGAGCCGACACTTCATCCGTGCTATGGGTATAAAGGGATCGTAATAATGAAATTAACTTCTCGGGAACACCCTTCAGGAAAAAGGAGTGCCAAAGTTTAGAGTGCTCGACTGAGTCGTAAGCCGCTTTCAAATCGGGGAAAACAGAGATGGTGCGTCTACGAAAAGAATGTCGGTGCTCCAGAGTTTGGCGAAGAGTGAAGATGTGGTCGATACAACCTCGACCAGGTCTGAAACCAGCCTGCTTCTCACGCGTGCACTGTTCACGTGCGGCGGACAATCAACGGAGTGTAATACCTGCGAGAAGTTTAGAAGCGATGTTGAGTAAACTAATTCCTCTGTGGTTTTCACAAGAGGATCTGTCACCTTTCTTGTTAATCGGTATGATGACCGATTCACACCATTCAGCTGGAACCTGTTCCCTTTCCCACACTGAGTCCAGGAGTTTCGTTAACTCCGAAACCAATGCTAAACCTCCATCCTTGAAAACGGATGGAGAGAGCTCGTCTGGGCCGGAGGCCTTATGCCTTTTGAGATACCTTAATTCCCGGGAAACCTCCATTTCAGATGGAGGACTGGCATCAACTGGGAGTATATGTCCAGTCGAGGTGGGGGAGGGGGGGTGATAGGTCAGATGTCTATGAGGGCCAGTTAAACTGAGCCTCGAATTGTTCAACCCATCAATCAAGACAGTGTTGCTGAGGGTGAATCACAGTGCCATCGGATTCCTCAATTACCTCACTTACGCCTATTTTCCTGGGGACCGTATTCTTAATTAGACGGAAAAGGTTGCGACTATTAACAATAGCCGCAGCCTTCTCCATTCCCTCTACATTGTTCTGCTCATTACTTCTAGTGGTTTTTCCTCACACTCTTGATGAGCTGGCGTTTGAGAGATTTGCGCGCATCGGGAGGAAGGGTTCTGCGGGCGTCCAGTAGGATAGCTAAGATCGATGAGATCCATCGTTTATGTTTTGAGCATGCGTGAGGGTTTGCGGTTGTTTTTGTTGATATTTGCAAAGCCCCCTTGATTTGTTTTCAGTGTTCATTGAATCCTTCGGTTGGTGGTCGAACTGACAGGCGATCGGAAAGTTCCGTTTCGAAGGCTGATTTGCAACAATCGCAGACGTTGTATCATAGGTATCCGTTTTCGGTGGCTTAATTACGGTTTTTTCCAGGCATAAGGAGAATTTAGCTCGTAGCAAAGTGCGGTCCGTATCCACAGGTGTTGACCAGTAGGAGCGGCAGTCTTGAATCGATCCTCTCTAGCGGTAACTGGTAGCGATGTAGTCGATTTGGGTCCAGCGCTGTGAAGAGGTTGGTGGTTTCCATTCAAGGCGGTGTCGTTTCTTGTGTGCGAAGTTCGTGCTTGACAGGAACACGGTTGGCTGGGATTGTATGTGGTCCACCAGGAAGCCTCTCTGATTCGTCCAGGAGTCCCACTTGAGCACTGAAGTCGCCGGCGATTACCACGGTATCCGTTGATCAAACACATTGGTGTACTTGAGAAAGATCCCTGTAGAATTCATCCTTGATTTCAGGTTTACTGCAATCGGTCGGTGCATACGCCGATACGACGAACATGCATCGACGCTTCGTTCTGTAGCTGTTGACCCGTGCTGAACCGTTGAGACGTACAGCGCACAGTCGGCTACTGACTGAAATCCAGTCAAGAAGCGAGTGCTCCGCCTTGGCACTTAGCGCAATCCCAACACCAGCAACACCGAGAGCTTCGGATGCTGAATCGCATGACACAGGAAGGGTGAAGCGTGAGGTTGAGGTTGGTTCAGGAGAACGCGGGGAGAAAATTGAAGTAGGGTCTTGTATGCGTGTTTCGGAGACAGCAAACATCTTATTTGAAAGTTTCAAGGGTTCTAGCTAAAGCAGCTTGTTGTTCAATCTGAGAGAGTGTGCGGACATTGAACGCGGCTAAGTAAAATGGGAATTTTTGCCTTAAAAATCCTATGACTTCTGATTGTTTGGCCTTGTTGGTAAAATGCTAAGTGATATCCGATGGGTCTTGTAAACCGCCGACGCCTTGGAGTATTCGGGATTGAGAGGAAGAACCAGACAGATGGGAAAGACGGTTTTCCGAATGGGTGCTTAAGACTTGACGGCACGATGTACTTCGCGGTAGCCCACACCGACGAGGGGGTTTTCCTTTGGGAACCCTAACCGGAGCCTTTAACTCAAAAGTCTGATTCACAAGGCAGTGGAGCGTAAATCCAATGCGGGAGCGTGAACAAAGCACCTATGTGGGAGCTTCTTGAGACCTGTCATGCAACGCCTTTGAATTTTGATTATTTATGTTGTTCGCTGGTGCGTAGATTATCGGTCCGCTGTTCATTGTATTGTATTGTATTGTATTTGTAACTTGTGTTAAAAATGTACATTGTTCGTCACGCAGAATGAAATAAAAATAATCAAAAGGTAAGAAAGGTCGGTGATATACGTATCATGTACAACTCATTTGACGTAGTTCATTTGAGACCTGTTCCTTTTTGGTGAGTAGTCGGGCCAGGCAGGGTACAGGGGACTTTTATAAATGCTAATGCGAGAGGGTAGCTGTCGAAATGAGGAGCGTGTGGACGGATGGGAACGACAACGACACGATAGATCAGGGTGTAGTGGATGAAGAGGGTCACCTAGAATTTTGTGAGCAAATTTAAAACAAGAGTTGATGTGACTACCAACGAGATCTGTGATTATTAAATCAATTGGGATTAGTGATGCACGACTGATTATCACCAAACCGCGGCGAATTGTTTTGAATTCGTGTTTTAAAAGACCGGGAAACACTACAGGAGGGCAATAAAGTAGGGTGCACATGCTGATCTTCTGTGGTTTCATGAGTGTTTTCTGATGTAGACGCTTTCGGAGCAAGCAGACTCAATGATACAGTTTCCTCCTTTCC